TTATACATAGAAAGCAGATTGATATTTCTAAAATGTTTCCTGAAATTATAACAGCTATTCAGAAATATGAAATATTAGGGATTCATATTGGCTTATACAATGTATATTGATAAAAACATCATATTACAGTTAACCACTCATTGTACAAAATAGCAACAGTAAACTTCTAGTCAAAACAAAATGTATATCAGGTGAGGTGTGCCTAATGACAGCTGAAGTATATAGTGTTACCATGTCTATCTTTCTTTCTGCAACCATATACAAGGTAGTGGTTCAGACTATTTTTGTTATGTCTGCATGAAATCGCTGCAGAAAATTAAAATCATGCTGCAACTCAAACATATTTTTTTTCTAACTGTTCAAAGAGACTAATTTGGAAATGGGTCAAACAAAAGAAGAATGTGTCAAAACACTATAGATGCCCCAACTTCAGGAAAAAACAAAATTATCGGGAATGACAAATGAAAATTATCAAAACATGAACAATTAATTCACATTTTCAGAATAGAATCTATAAAAATATATCAATTTTCATGGAAATGCCAATAAACCCTATCTGAAGAATTGTGATGACAAATTGAAGTCGTTTCTGAACAAGGTAAAACTATTAAATTAAATCAAAGGGAATAAGTTGGGATAAACAAAATGGACCAGAAAATAATACTCACATGCATTTCTAGATATAGTCTGCCTTCTTTATCTCTTCTTTTATCTCAGAGTTAAATGTCTGTCCCAATTGATAATTTTTTTGTTTTATTTACTCCTAATATCTCAAAAAATTATGTTATCTCAAGGTATCAGTCTGATCAACTTTGAGATAACATGAGCCCACTTAATATTGCTACAAGATCTAACAAAGTATGCAACTTTTTGTGTGTTGACAGATTGGGAAGGGGTACAAAAATATGACTTCTTTCAATAGGAATGCAATGATTTTGTATCCAACCAAAATACATCAATATATAAATATTACACATAGCTGAGAGAGTGATAGAGCAGATTGTTGCCCTAAGAACCTAACTCTTATACTTTTCATGATAACAGCCAACAACTGCAAAAAATTGAAAAGAAATCTTTGTTTCAGGGGCAATCACTCCAAAATGAATAATTAAATTTTTCTCCAATTTTCAGGGTGGATAAATCTTCTGATGCAGATCACTTCAGGGTATATAGATATTGTTTTGATGGCCATCTTTTTTACCTTGTCAGTTTCTTTCTAATTGCAATAGTTTTAGAAATATTAGCCAAAACTGTAGTTTGACCCCTTTGTTCTATTATAAGACATGGCGGCCATGTTGGTTGATCAACCTGGATGGAAATCACAAACTTTGGTTTTAATCCATTGACGACTTTTGGAGATTTTTAAAGAAAAAAACCTAACGATGGACGAAAAAGTGATGGGAAAAGCTCATCACATGACGCTTTGGGCCAGGTGAGCTAATAATAATGCGTTACTATTTATTATAACATGGTATTTAAGAACAAAACTAGAAAGTCAGTGCCACAATTATACCTTTTGTTAAAAACATGAAACTTGGACACCTGCGCAAGTTGATATACCCCCCAAGAACTGCAAAGATCCTATGTTTTAAATCTCACAGTGAATCAATATCAATTTCCTTTATGACAGGAGACAAGATGCTAATCCAGTATGAATTAATCATTTATTTGTGTAAATTGGCAAAGGACCGAAAAAGATAATAGATTTCTGACCAATAATTACTGGCAGTTATTATCCTGGCATTTGAACAAATGACTTGGTATTAGGTTTTTCAGGAGAAGTCTCAGATAAACAGTTTCTTGGGCGACAGCTTTTCAACTGAACCAATATTACAAGACATCCATAATGGTCAAATCAACACCACATAAAAAATGGTCTCCACTTACTAATTATACTACAAGCTAAGGTTTCATATTATTCTTTTTCTCAAAGAAAAATATTGGGGAATGAAGAAGAAATCAGACACATAGTCAGGTGTTTCGTAAAATCAATGAGCATTTTGAACATTCCATTACTATTCTGTAAAAAAAAATATCACTGTAGGGTCACAAAAGGGGGAAACAAATAATCCTACAAATAGGGTCTCCCCAAGATAAGTTGATTTTACTAGTGTTTCTCAATTGGATTTATGCAGGTGTCAATTCTATAAACCTTAAAGGCGGAGACAAATTTTTAGAGGAGATTTGGCGTAAAACCTTCTTCAACTGTTTATATGTAATATCCCTTTTTAAGTATCATTATTAATATTTTTTAGTTAAATCTTACATTCAAATGAATTTAATTTATCATCACTAATGAACAAATTAGCTAAAACAAGTGACATTTAGTTAAGCACACTGCATTCCATATTGTTTGAACAATCAATTTGTTGACCAAAAACTGTACGGTTAAGTATCCATCTTTTCATCAGACAATCAAACTTAGTCATAGTTAAGGGAATTAGAGAAATAAGATTTTTTCTCAAAATTTGGAAATCAGATGCTCTGCCAGGAGACTTGGTTTCTAAAGTAGATATTCAAATTCAAAAACAAGTTTAACTGTGAGTTATTGATAACAAATGATACCCAACTTTAAGTTATCGGTAAATATGAAGTTAACATGTCATAGATGTGAAAACACACCACACAGTATAGATTGCTCACATGAGGCTTGTTCCTAAATTTCAGAAAGCCCTGATAGGGAGGTCCTGAGAAAAATTCCATGAAATTTTATACATGGCAATAATGTGTAAGAGTGTATGAGTATTGGGTAAATAGGAAGATGTAGAGCGATGAATTTGAAAATGCATCAGAACATATAGCTAGCTCACTTAAAACTTGATACAAACTTTCTGGAAGCTCTGAGTTGTAGTTAATGAGAAAAGTGCAACAAACATTTTATGTGACAGCTGACAATGGTAATCAATCTGCACTATTATAGTATAAATATTTCGAGGTTTCCTCCAATATCTGAAGAGTTGAAAACTATCATTGTGTACTCTAAGCAAATTGTAATCACAAACAAAGCATTCATTAATATTCATACATTTTATGGTACATTCTAAACATCAGTTTCTATTAGTTCTTTATTTAAATAAGAAAGTCTATGTCAATGTCTGTACTACATCCAATCTATTTGAAATATGATAGGATCATACAGAGTTGCACATGAAAATAACATTCAAACTGGTTTTTTTTTTAAAAGAATCAATTCTAAAGTGAGGGTATTCTTATTGAACCAAAGTTTAAATGAACAAGTGAAACTGCGAGCTATTGCTCACTGATGATACAACCACCCCAAATATGCATTTGTTGTTGAGTGATGAATCTGAAAACACATCACACGGTATAGCTGACTTATATAAACCCTGAAACCAAATTTCAGAAATCCTTATGATGTAGTTCCTGAGAAAGATGCGACAAAAAATGCGGGGGTATAATAAAAATGAAAATGAAACATTACATTCACAGTGAATCCCTGGCCAATATCTGGTTTACATGGTTTAGTGGTTAGCATTATTTTTTGAAAGAAAATCGAAGTATTCTATATGGACCACTACAAACAAATGTAACACTACTGAAAAGAAAAAAAATACCATAAACCTATAGCACATGCCCATTAATGTAATTTATCATCCATAAAATTGAGAGGTAGAGGGTATCCAGCCTACTTTTTGTCAATTTTTTCATGATTTTAAAAAAGATATCTGAATAAAGTGAGTTCTCGACCCTTGGAACCTCCAACTGGACCAGCCAATGTTTAGAAAGGACAACTCTTTATATATTATAAAGGATGTGATAGCTATCTCACACAGGAAGATCTGACAAAGCATGTATCTTCAAGATGGATAGCTTTGTAAGTAATTAAAATAGAACATTTTACTATAGGTGTTTGTATATATTTCATTTTAAAATCCTGGAAGGCAGTATAATAATACTTTATAAAGACATTTTTATTTTCAAACTCATTTCTTCTTCTGGACATGAAGTAGTATTCACATGACTAAATTATACGATGAATTTATCATAATTATTCACTTTGATAAATGTTTTCATTGATTTTACCGGGGTCATTAATAATTTTCTAACAAAAATCAAAATATTGATAGTTTATAAGCTTCAATAAAAAAAAAATTGCTTAAAAAAACAGCAATTTTTCATTAGGAAATTTCTTTCAACAGGTATTATATGGTGATATCAAAACTTTGATAAATTGATATAAGTTAAATTTAAAGAATGGACTAAAATATTTGTTTGACATTTCATAAGTTATATGATGGTATTTTTTCGCCATGACACAAATTTATATATATAAAATTATTCATAACATAAGGTTTCTATAATATACATGTATGTCTCATATATTCATGACTTGTATCAGTTCAGTGTCATGATTTGTGGTTTTAATTTTTTTTTTTTGTACCTATACAGAATAATTTTGTTGCTTTTTAATTAATTACTCTTCCTGCTTTTTAAGAGTCACATATTCTTGGTTTTCCATTAGTTCTGTTTTTTCTAACAAATTTATACAAAGGAAGTTCGTAGAACTAAATAATAACACTGAAAATATTAATACAGTTTGATATATGCATTTTAGAAAAAAGAAATTATTCCATAATTTGGATAACAAATGTCATTGCTCAGAGTGAGGTCTACATACATATTTTCAAACATGTCAAAAGAAATCACATATTCCTTTTTGTGTCACAAAATACTACCAGTATAAGAAATAGAACTAAAAAGAAATTTATGAAATTTATCTATAAAGTAACAGGTCAGCAACCCTCATTTCTTTTAAAGACATCAAAGTAACAAACATATAGTACAGTTACTTTTGAAAGAAATAAACAGTGCACAATTCAATATGAACAATATCAACATGAAAACCATTTTGTACATTTGTAAAAAGAGTTATTTTAAAATCTTTAAAGTGCATTTATTCTTATCATAAGTAGATATTACTTACATACTTACATTCACTGTAAATTAGCTTCATTACAAGCTCTAACATTCACACTTACCATTCAATCAGATCCAAAAATCATCTAAAATTATGTCTGATAATGAAATGTATTCCCTAGAATTACAATAGTTGTGTTAATACACAATTAATCCTTTCTTTCCTGACAAGTAACCCACAGAGGTATACAATTATATACAGGTAAACTCTGAAAAGATCAATGGATTATATGGTTATCATTATCTTGGTGTCTTTTAAGGGGCTTTCTCAAAATACATTAATTAACAAAATTATGAGAGTGAAGGGGTTTTCTCAAACTTTAAACTGTAGACAGTGAAACCTAAAAACTTTATTATTTCTTATAAATCTATTCAATGTTTGATTTTTCAATTCATGATACAGAGACACAAGTTTCTTTACTAAAGCATACAGTGTATAAATATCTAAATATATCATAAACATATCTATAAATAGCAATTCTATCTTTGTTATACTTTACTTCCCCTGCTTGGCAAAAAAAGAAATCCTGCAGAGCAAAATAATTAAAAATAGATCTATAAATTTTAAAAATTAAATTCTAAGTTCCTCTTTATCCAATCAGTGTACTTGAAGTGAGACTTGTGGATTTCAAGTCATACAATTTCATGATTCGAGATTCAATGAAGGAAGAGAACATTTCTGCAATAAAGGGGGAACTACAATGGTGTATAATGTCATTTAAAAAATCTATTTCTCTTCTTGCTACACAATATCAAACCAAACTAGCAGTACTTCAAGCAAAGTTCACAAAAGGATATCCCTCCACCGTCACCCCAAAAAAAAACAATGGGAAAATCTTTGATTGGCTAAGGGGAAACCCAAAAAACAAAGTTTTTTAAACAATATTGATTATTCAAGAAAAACTGAATTTGTTAGGGTAACAGTAAAATATTTTTTTTCAGTCAGGACTGGACGTGTCTGTTTTTAAAGATGTTATTAAATATGCTACTAGATTAGAAAAACTTTAAGGAAAAAAAATCAATTAGATGTGACTTTAAGATGAAGAACAGCTATATATCACTTCTTTCCAACAAAACTAAGTCAAATGTAACAAAGATAAATAATTGTAAATTTACATCACTAAAACAAATGTTCAATAGGATGTTTCTGATATAAACAGTAAGTAACCTTCAATCCAAATCATCTCCGGGATTAGGAAATAAATGAGACAAAAATGTTTATTTAAAACTTTTTCAACAAATCATGAAAACTTTTCAGTGATAGTTTTCGAAACATGTGCAATCTCTGTTATTCTATAAAACAGAATGGATGAATCGTTTTTTAAAGCTTAATATATATTTGATAATGACAGCCATACTAGTCAACTGTTGAAAAAAAAATATTTTGAATAATGTTATATCATCATATCACAGCATATTATTTACAATTCATTGTTAAAAATATCATTTTACAGTTCAAAATATTAAATGTGTTTATCAATAAAGAACAAAAGTAAGTTAAGTATCCGGTCTAACTTAAAAACATCAGGCTATGTCTGGAATAAAATCATGAAACAAATATAAATGGGGAATGTGTCCATGGGACACAGATGATGCCCCCACTTGCATATAACATTATAAAGGGACATAACTCAAGAACCGTAGAAGTGACGCTACCCAAATTTGTACTTGATCAGAGTTTTGTGGTAATAAGCATTGTGTATAAGTTTCATAACATTTGGTTGAGGCAAACTTAAGAAAGAGAACGGAAACGAAAAAATTCAGCAATTTTTTCCATTTGTAAAGGGGCATAACTCTAGAACAGTAATAGTGACGCCACCAAAATTCAAACTTGATCTGTGTTTTGTGGTAATAAGCATTGTGTATAAGTTTCATAGCATTTGGTTGAGGCAAACTAAAGTTAGAGAATGGAAACCAATTTTGGGACCTACGGACAGACAAGGGTAAAACTTAATGCCCCCTCCCCAACGGCGGGGGCATAATAAAACTGCATTAAAAAGATAGTAAACTACATTTTTTATCTACATGTCACTGTTCAAATAAACTTATTTGGAAAATATCAAAAACTTGTTGTCAAAAAATAAAAGATACCTCAGTCTCACCCTATAATATAACAACTGAGGTATGAGAAATAAAAATTACCAAACGGTGAAACCAGCAACAAAAAGGTGCATTTTTCATAATAGAATCCAACAATATAAAAAATGTGCATTTGTAGTATATCATGTTTCATATAAAAACATCACTTACCCATATAAGAAAGTGACTTAGTAATGAACTGGGTCAAAATTTGAAGGTTATAAAGTGTTTTTGCATATCTTGCCATTAAAGGAGCATGAAATCTTACAGATATGTGATTTATATATGTTGGTTCAGAATTTAACAAAGGATGTAAACTTTTTAGTTCAGAAAGGGGTGCATTATGGTACAAAAACTTAACTTCTAACCTGTGTTTGATTTTCTACAATGTTTCCAAAATTTCACTTTATCAGGTGAAGGCTAATTGATGTCACTGTACAAAAACCAAAATGGAGAAGATAGAAGGATGGACAAAAGTAACACCAAATGCTTTAGTTCCCTAATAACATTCACACAGAAAGTATATCACAAGATCAAGTATGTGTTTCTTTGCTCAGAAAAGCTATTCAATTGCAAAAAATAATTTAGGAAATTCTTTTTCTAAAGTTGGATATGAAAACATCACTTATACCTGAGGATAAGAATGAAATCATCAAGCTTAATCAAACTCTTAAGCACACATTAAAACAGTCATGCTCCTCTCAAAGCAGCTTTTACAAATAAGGAAAGACAACTCTGATTAAATAAAATACATTGCTTTCTAATGGACTTGTTTTCAGTAATAAAGTTATTAAATGATCCACTAGATCAGAAAATATAAGTTAAAGATACAAACCAGATGTGACTTTGAGATGAAGAACAGCAAGAAAAGTGCTGATCCTTTGCTTCTGGTTTTTTCAAATGTGTATACAGATTTTGGCCTTAAATTAATAAAGCATATTCCTTCATGATAATGCTTCTGAAATTATATCATTCAGGAAAATTTCGGACAGGACGTTATTGGACCCTATACAGTAATAAGTAATATCTAACCGAGAAGACCAGACATTTCATGCAATGTATAAGAAAACCTTAACTTAAATCCCAAATATTAAAAAAAAAATTATAAACATGTATTAAAAAAAAACCAAACTTTTCATTGATAATCTTTTCAATTTCTTTTATTCTTAAGACAAATCAGATAAGCACTTTACATCTGGTATAGACACTGACTTTTCTATTGTCAAGGACTGTATGTAGACTCTATATCATATCTGTCTAGTGTTTTTTTTAATAATGTATCAAAATGCATATACTAAAAACACCTGTGCGATAATGGTTAAAACAAGTTTTGAAACTTCCCCCAGGTTGAAACAAAATATTGAAACCTCCAGGAACAAGTGAAATCTTTTGATTTATCAACATTTAGACAAGGAAGTAAAAACTTAGCGGTATATTTATTTAATATGAAATTAAAATCCAAGGACCATATATAAATACTGTCTAAAAAAGAGGGAACTCATTTTCAATTTTATTTTTCTGGAAAAACAATTACATGTATATACAAATTGTTGGTTGATTATTTGCTACAGAGCCTGTTTAGTACAGTTACATTTATTTTCATTGATTTTTTAAAATTTTTGGCTATAATTACCTCCAGGTTGAAGTTAAATCACATTTAATACTTTTTCTTACCTTTAAAGGGGCATTAGCTGTCAAATTCATGATCACTGATTCATAAATCCAAATTGCAAAAAGTCCAAAAGAAACAATTAACAATGCATGGACTTGTTATAATGTATCAGCATTTCGTGCATATTTCAGACTCAACATCATCTAATCAACCATCCAGATGACCTCTAAAGATTGTGGATGGTCACACCAATGGATATATACATAAAATACTGTAAATTAAGAAATTATTGTGTGCATTCATCATTGTAATTTTTGAAGGATGGACAAAATGTGAGATTAATTATTGTGATTTCCGGAAAATCTGCATACATAGATATAGGAAGATGTGGTATGAGTGCCAATGAGACAACTCTCCATCCAAGTAACAATTTATAAAAGTAAACCATTATAGGTCAAAGTACGGCCTTCAACACGGAGCATTGGCTCACACCGAACAGCAAGCTATAAATTTAAAGGGCCCCAAAAATTACTAGTGTAAAACCATTCAAACGGGAAAACCAACAGTCTAATCTATATAAAAACGAGAAACCAGAAACACTTATGAACTACATAAACAGACGACAACTACTGTACATCAGATTCCGTACAGATATATATATATATATATATAGATCTGATATCAGATATCAGAGTGCGATTTTTTATTATTGCGATATTCACTCAGTCGCATTATTCCCAATAATTTCTGAATTGAAAGTTAATATATATAGACAGACAAGCATGTGCAATTGTATTAAGATGATTTTTCTAGGTCTGTTTGATTTTATGTCATTGAATAATAAACTGTTAACACAGAGATATGTCTCACCTTTTTGTACTTTTGATAATGCAAATGTTGAAATTAAAATAGCAATACTTTAACATGTAAGTTATGCAAAACTATTCAAAGTCAATGAACCATGACTGAAGGTACATAGCAAAATAATCTCCATGGAAATGAGATGTGCCAATGCTAATGCAACTGCATACCAAATACCATAGACTTATCATAAGTCGTTCCCTTTCAACAAACCTAAACACAAACATTGACTTGTAAACTATGTAAAAGTTTCAAAGTCAATGAACCATGATGAGGGGGAGGGGCTATATAATCTCCATGGAAACGAGACTTACAAATGACAATAAACTTGCATACCAAATATCATTGACTTAACATTAGTGGTTCATCTTAAACTGATCTAATCACAAACTAATACATGTAAACTAAGCAAAAGTTTCAAAGTCAATAGACCATGACTGAGGGGGCGGGACCAAATATTCTCCATGGAAATGAGATATGCCAATGCTTATACAACTGCATACCAAATATCATTGACTTACCACTAGTGGTTCCCCTTGAACTGACCTAATCAAAAACTAATACATGTAAACTAAGCAAAAGTTTTAAAGTCAATAGACCATGACTGAGGAGACGGAGCCAAATAATCTCCATGGAAATGAGATATGCCAATGCTTATACAACTGCAAACCA